CTAATAATTATAACGCTAAAACTGTGTAGTGAGACAAACAATCATGACCTAATTTCTTGTTTTTCGGGACTTCTTTTCAATTATTATTTTCTCCTTGAATGAAGCGGAATCAAGTTCACAATACCAGTTTTTCATGAACACCAAAAAAGTAGGTTCGAAAGGTGTGCCATTCAAATAATAGCTTCAGGAAATGATAAAACAGTTTGTCTGTCACGCTCCTGAACTATCCCTAAATACCATAAGTGACATCAGACCTTATCTTGCTAAAATTCAAATCAAGTCGTGTCAGCCAATCTGCGAGTTATCATGGGAAGTGCAGTGTTCGAAATGCTAACAAATTCCAAGTACAAGTCGGGAGTAGTCGGCGCACGACGCCGTCTCCTGTTCACACTCAAATTGCAGCTGTTTTGTACGCTTGCGTCCCCGTCTACGCCCGTCTACGATATGAAAAGTTGAATCGATCCAACTCTTCCCATCGCTTCCAGATCCGTACGGCAGTATGGTTGCGTTCCCGTTCCTGGTGTTCCCATTGGACGTCATCAGACTGTCCGGTCGCTTCCCGTCGATCCTTACGTCGCGTCCCGTCGAATGTGAACTAGGCTTTAAGGCGCAGGCGGGCGTTGACCTTCTCTTTGAGCGTCTGCCCATTCACTGCATCCATGTTTCCCTCGTGCCATGGTACGAGTTCCCAATTAACTGTGGGTCGCAGCACGGCTGGAAAATCCCTTTAACGAAAAAAAAAAGCAGTCAATATAGCCCTAAGGAGTCAAATATGCAGGGATATTTGACTGCTTAGGTATGGCAAACATCTTATATTGGCTTTTTACAAGGTCAATATTATAGGAAATAGAAACTTCGCAAACGACATCGACTTCACCTCGGTCTTTCTAATACTCCTCTTTTATTTCCTATACTGACCGCGTACTCTGTCAATAATAGATAATGTAATACAGTCAACGTGTATAATAATAATAATAATAATACTCTAACCACTGAGCTATGGGACCAGGCTGAACCTAGAAGGCGCTGACAAGTCTTTCACTCCAAAGGCAGCTCACAACACGTGCCACACATACTGATGGCACTTGGGTCTTTTTCCCTCCCCCAGGGTGGGTCTGGCGTTTTTTTCTCTTTTCAGGCAGTTCACTTCCCCGACTGATCCTTTGAATATGAAGTTCTCCCAATCCTTTCCAAATAATAATAATAATAATAATAACAAGTCATAAAAATAATTTTTATGACTTGGGGCTCCCCGCGTGCTAGTTTGTACGTGAAGTGTGTGGGTTACAGTGAGGGCTGCGTCCCACCCGCCTGTGTGGATTCACAGGAAGTGTGAGTTACGAAGTCTGAAGAAAACGTTGAACGGTCTCTGCTTGGATGACGACTACACCATAGCTCAGCGGTTAGAGCATCGCTGGCTACAAGCGAGGGTCCCTGGTTCGAATCCTGGTGGTGACAGTCAATTTTTTCTTCAGACTTTTCCCGTTTGTCTCTTTCCCTCAAAACCAGTCAATAATAATAATAATAATAATAATATTCGCGGGATCCGCGTCGGCATCGCTTGAATGTTCAGAAACACACAAACTAGGCTTCGCATCCGCAGGCCACCTCTATGCCTGTTAACCTTAGTGGCGACGTGTATAATGATTATTATACCAGTATCAGGTAAACGCTAGCTCCCCGTTGTTACTTCCAGCAGCTTCACCCTCCCCGCGACAGCGGCTATCAGCCTCTCTCTCCATCGTCGACCGTGAATTATCACAGATACAACATTCTACATTTATCAACACTGAGTGAATATGTCTCGAGACGAATTTAGCGGATCAACAACGCTTTGCTGGAGATAAATTCTCCTCTGGAGGACCTTCAGGGTACCTGGAAGGGTATAGAAGACGGGATCGCTCACGACGTTAGGAGAACATAGAAAACAACCTCCTCTTCGATTGAAAATTGGCCAAAAGGTATGTGAAATGTATGTGCGCAGGTGCACTTCCACTGGCAAGCCAATCCCTCATTACGTCATCAGCACTCGCTCTGCGAATTTCAAAAGTCGTCTTCCCGATCGACTCGATCGCTTCTGGAGACTCGTTCTTGTTCGAGCGGTCTTCTCTTTCACCTACCTTCGTCTTGCCATCGAAAACTCGGCGTCGAAAATGAAGCCGGAGTGCTCCTTTAATGTCGACCCATTGCATAATGTCAATGTCAAACAGATCATGCAGGAGAAGACGGGGATGTCGGGCCTTTTCAATTGTTGGCGTCCAGTGTACAGACACCAGTCACATTTCCTGCGTCTTTGCAGCATACGGGCTGAGGATATGCTCATCACTGTAGAGTCCACTACTTCTTGATTTGTACTTGTACAATAATTTGTACAATACATGACAGGCGTACTCAGTGTGCCTCGAAGGACTGCGAGATGCTGCAGAAGACCAGATTCAACCTTTCTGGACGGCCAACCACCGACGGTGGGCTACACGATGGCAGAGGAACTAGATTCCAGTGAAAACCCAAGATTCCTTTGCTCCTGGACGCTCCACCGTCTTGTGATATCTGCCAGGTGCGCAGTAACCAGTATTTTTATCATCGCGAGGACGACGACGATCGGCAAACTCTCGCTCACAGCCATCACCAGCCTCTCAAAACCATCACTTGGTATCCCCCAGAAGTATCGGAGAAAGCCACAACAGCTCACAACAAACAAAAGCTAAGGACGATGGAAACAGAGCATGTCAGAAAGAAGACGTTCAATGTGTTGCTATCAGGGTTTCTGCTAAAATAGCTGTCTTAGTCCGCCATGCTGCATCTTTACCCCTCTCATGTCGTATCTGCTACTTCAAATGCTTTGTGCTGTCTGAGTTTCTGTGTGCATCCAATGCTTATGCATGCCCCATATCTATCTGTTCACCAGGAGCTCCGACTGGAAAGGCTCTTCAAGCGCGCATTGCGTGCTGTATGTAAAGTGCCCCCATGGACCCCCACTGTTACGCTAAATTCTTCAGGAAGTAGATTGTTTGCAACTTTTTTCGACCTCTTTCGTCACGAAGAACTCGAGGAAGCAACAGTAACCTGCTTATCGTCCCTGCAGCTGCTTCTGCACATTCTACCAAATTGGTGACACAATGTCATACTGGCGCAGTTCTCTGGAATTCCCTGCATGCGGATATCCGAGGCGTCACCAAACCTTCAAGTCAAGCGCTTTGCAACACATTCTTGCCTGCTTTTAGCTTTACGCCCATGTTTCTGTAGCTGTGCTGGAACTGCTCTATTTCGCCGCCACTATTTACCATTAGCCATGTCTCCCCCCCCCCCCCCCTCCTCCACCACCCTACACAGTGGGTCCATTGTAATTAGGCATCTGCCTGTTTGGTTTTCTCCACTATAAACAAAAGAATACTACTACTAGACGAACACTATGAAGTTCAAGATGTCTGCCTGGGTGGATGTAGAAGGTTGGCATTGGCTCGTCGTCCAGTCCGGAATTCTCTTATGAATAAGTCGCACTCAAAACAAACGTAACGAAGGCCTTTCGTCTCAAAAGTTGTCTTTCTCCTGGCGGCTTGCCTCAAGCGAGTCGATATTCGTATCTCGCCTCTTCCCTTCACGAATTCTACTTTCCTCGTTGTTGAGTACGCCTGGAAAAGGGAATTGGCAAGCGAATCGTTTTGGTCGCAATGGAAATTGCAAATGAACAAGATTGTTGGCGAAGCGTGTGTTCGCACTTTCAGCAGAGCAGTAGCTGCTGCTGCAATGAAGTTTGTCCGGCTGAAAGCGATGACGATACGTCCAGGACCACCACGCCCAATGGGGCACGTCCACGTCCTGGGTTGATATCCAATAAAGACCGGCCAAGGCCTCTTTTACGGGCAAATTAACACAATGGTTTTAAATGCAATAAATCATACACTGGAGAAGAAATCAGAAAATGCATGTGTAAAATAAAGAATTTCAAACTCAAACCAAAAAACTTCAAATCAATTTTTTATAATTAAAATAAACTCAATAAACTCAATTCAAAAGGAGAAAAACAATAAAGAAACAACAAAAAAAACAATTAACCGTACATAACAGGCTCTCAGCTGCATCGAATAGATTTCCCAATGCCAATATTTCGCCACTATTCGATGCAGCTGAGAGCCTGTTATGTACGGTGTGCAATGGAGATATTTTCCGATGTGAAAACTACGCTGCAATGGAGTCTGAGAGTTTTACGGAAACGCACCAATAACTTCATCAAGAAAAATCAAAAACAAACAAAAAACTTGATAAACAAAATAAACACAGTATAGAAGATTAGAAAATTACGTAACAATGCGAGACTCAGCCACCACGACGGAACTACATGTATCCACAAAACGTTGGACAGGGAAACCCCGACGAGAACGAGCACTACGGATACAAAGAATCCTGGATCTTAGTAAGGAGAAAGAGAGACGGGCACGCACCAGACTCATGACAACAGAGTATTCGCTACCAGAAGACTAACATTGTAAGCGACAAAGACGTTTCAAGTTTTAGGCAAGAGCTGTCGTATCCAAGAAATCAAAAACCGCCAACAGCAAGCTATGGCCAAATAATATCTTCTAGGCAGTAATTTACAGGCCTTGCGCCTGCTGCCTCGTCTTACTCCTCCGCATGGCCAGGGTTGAGGCGGAATGAACGGCAAAATGAACGCACGGGGCGCGAAGAAGCATTCCAAAGACAAATATTCAAAATTAGAACCAATCGTTTCCAAAGAAGCGCCGCGTGGCTACGAGAAACCCCACATGAAATCCCCAAACGAAAACGGCCATTCGGTCGGGAATTCGATGGCGAATCGAATATACACTACCTCAATCCCCGCCGATCTCCGATATTCTCCGCCTTCTGCCTCAAACTTGACCGATTTGGAAAGAAATCCATCGCCATTACGATCGTGCATCCTCCACATACATTCAGAAATGCTTGCACAGCACTTCTTTTCATCGCGTCTGTGCGACCGACGCTTCCATGACAACCCTGGGACAGGTGACCAATCAGAGTGAGATGTCCTAGATAGGACATCTCCCCGACTGACTGTACTATCAAATTACGAATCTTGGGATAAAAATATAGTTAAAATTACATGAAAATACCTTAGAAGTAGTTCTATAATTCCGCTGAGAGCGCATGGAGGAGAAGAGGAGAAGAGATTGTCGCATTAGTTCTACTTCAAGTGCATTCGAACAGGCGGCAAGGTGACAACAGTTTTAAGATGGCAATAAACAGAATCAGCTGAAGCGACATGTTACGAAGGTTTTACTGAGATGTAAAGTGGTGATGGACAAGGAAATAACTGTGACGGAAATGTAATGTGAAGAACAATATCAATAGGAAAAATGAAAATTATAGAGATGCATCGAACTAGCTTTCGCACATATAAATTTCTGAACAATTACTTCTAAAGTACAAGGTTTCCGTAAACAAAAACCAGCGGTTCTAAAAGCTGACAACCAGATGTACCCTACGTTACAGAGAGCTGCAGTACAGACTGGTGGCTCAGGCTTCCGCCGGTGTTGACACGCAGGCACCAAGCATTGCTGACATGCATGTACACGCTGCCTTGTCGCATCAACACTGGGATGAGACGCGGATTCAAGGTCAGCTCTGCGACCCTTAGGCTTCAGGTCATCAAGTGAGAAGTCAATCGTAGTGGAGTGTGTGTGTGTGTGTGTGTGTGTGTGTGTGTGTGTGTGTGTGTGTGTGTGTGTGTGTGTGTGTGTGTGTGTGTGTGTGTGCGTGTGTGTGTGAGAGAGAGAGAGAAAAGTGAAGTAAATTACCGCGTCCGTTTCCGAAGAGAACTTATGACGGCCGCTTGCACCCGGTAAACCAAGCGGCAGATGCAGCGTCTAACTAAGAGTGAGAGAGAGAAAAAAGGAGAGAAAAGTGCCAAAGTGCATGCGTGTGTGTGGGTGTGTGTGGGTGTCGTAGATGTTATACAGCATCGTCCTCATCAAGATGAAAACTCCGTCCTCCTGCGAAAATAACAAAGCAGAGCAAATTAATGAGAGAGGTATGCGATATGTGCAGGTGTGCGTGTGTGTGGGGGGGGGGGGGATATGTGCAGGTGTGCGTGTGTGGGGGGGGGGGGATATGTGCAGGTGTGCGTGTGTGGGGGGGGGGGGGGATATGTGCAGGTGTGCGCGTGTGGGGGGGGGATATGTGCAGGTGTGCGTGTGTGTGGGGGGGGGGGGGGATATGTGCAGGTGTGCGTGTGTGTGGGGGGGGGGGCGGGGGATATGTGCAGGTGTGCGTGTGTGGGGGGGGGGGGATATGTGCAGGTGTGCGTGTGTGGGGGGGGGGGGGGATATGTGCAGGTGTGCGTGTGTGGGGGGGGGGGGGGATATGTGCAGGTGTGCGTGTGTGGGGGGGGGATATGTGCAGGTGTGCGTGTGTGGGGGGGGGGGGGGATATGTGCAGGTGTGCGTGTGTGGGGGGGGGGGGGGGATATGTGCAGGTGTGCGTGTGTGTGTGGGGGGGGGGGGGGGATATGTGCAGGTGTGCGTGTGTGTGGGGGGGGGGGGGGATATGTGCAGGTGTGCGTGTGTGGGGGGGGGGGGGGGGATATGTGCAGGTGTGTGGGGGGGATATGTGCAGGTGTGCGTGTGTGGGGGGGGGGGGGGATATGTGCAGGTGTGCGTGTGTGGGGGGGGGGGATATGTGCAGGTGTGCGTGTGTGTGGGGGGGGGATATGTGCAGGTGTGCGTGTGTGTGGGGGGGGGGGGGATATGTGCAGGTGTGCGTGTGTGGGGGGGGGGGGGGGGAGGGGATATGTGCAGGTGTGCGTGTGTGGGGGGGGGGGATATGTGCAGGTGTGCGTGTGTGTGGGGGGGGGGGGGGAGGGGATATGTGCAGGTGTGCGTGTGTGGGGGGGGGGGGGATATGTGCAGGTGTGCGTGTGTGGGGGGGGGGGGGATATGTGCAGGTGTGCGTGTGTGTGTGGGGGGGGGGGATATGTGCAGGTGTGCGTGTGTGGGGGGGGGGGGGATATGTGCAGGTGTGCGTGTGTGGGGGGGGGGGGGGATATGTGCAGGTGTGCGTGTGTGGGGGGGGGGGGATATGTGCAGGTGTGCGTGTGGGGGGGGGGGGGATATGTGCAGGTGTGCGTGTGTGTGTGGGGGGGATATGTGCAGGTGTGCGTGTGTGGGGGGGGGGGATATGTGCAGGTGTGCGTGTGTGTGTGGGGGGGGGGGATATGTGCAGGTGTGCGTGTGTGGGGGGGGGGGGGGGAGGGGATATGTGCAGGTGTGCGTGTGTGGGGGGGGGGATATGTGCAGGTGTGCGTGTGTGGGGGGGGGGGGGGATATGTGCAGGTGTGCGTGTGTGCGTGTGTGGGGGGGGGGGAGGGGATATGTGCAGGTGTGCGTGTGTGTGGGGGGGGGGGGGATATGTGCAGGTGTGCGTGTGTGGGGGGGGAGGGGATATGTGCAGGTGTGCGTGTGTGGGGGGAGGGGATATGTGCAGGTGTGCGTGTGTGGGGGGGAGGGGATATGTGCAGGTGTGCGTGTGTGTGGGGGGGGGGGGGGGGAGGGGATATGTGCAGGTGTGCGTGTGTGGGGGGGGGGGGAGGGGATATGTGCAGGTGTGCGTGTGTGTGGGGGGGGGGGGGAGGGGATATGTGCAGGTGTCTGTGTGTGGGGGGGGGGGGAGGGATGGGACATGTGCAGGTGTCTGTGTGTGTGGGGGGGGGGGGGGGGGCATGCAGTGTTGTGGGCTGGCGTGCAATATTGTCTGCTCACCTCTCTTGTTTTTGGTCGGGAGGTGAAGCGAGGGTTCATGTAATAGTTCTTTGGGCAATAGGGTAGTTGCAAAAATGAGAGAAGAGATGCACTTGCTGGAGTTGAGAAAAACACCACCCCGTTTATAATCACCATCTTTATTGAAGGTATTTTGCAAAGGGAATGCAGAATGATGACTGCTTCGATGATTTTACGTATTCAAACCGTATCACATTCGTCACATGAGACCACAGACCTTTGCCAGGAGGTTCGAGTCTCTCAACACTCAAAGCATCCAGGTCTCATGAAGCGGTTGAGTTGGCAAAGTGCACACCCTCGGAGTGGACATATACACACAAAAAATGCCCCCGGAATCGTTTTGCCAACCATAGCACCCCCCCCCCCCCCCCCACTCCCTGTTTCTCTGGTGGTGGACAACGCGAGCTATGATCCCGAGACCATTCCTGGTGGGAAAGCTAGAGGCACCGCACCCACCGGAACACTTGCCTTGGCGTAGTAATCACTGTACCGTGGAGTGAATATCCCCCTGGGTTTCAGTACTCGGATGGAGAGGCAAGGATTAAAATTAAAATAGAGCGGACCGTAAATTAATTTTCAAGTTATCCGTTTTGTGCAACACCAACGATTATAAGCAGGATAATGTTGAGTCAAAATGTGCAACTTGTGCTAATTGTTGCACATGTTGACTCAACAATATCCTGCTTATAACAGTTAGCGTTGGACAAAACGGATAACGTTTGAGTACTACAACAAACAAACAAACAAACAAACAAAGAGGAAGACAGCTTACTCTAGCAGGTCTTCCACCCTGGAAACAACGGCCGGCGAAACTTTCTCCAGTATGGCAAGAAACTTCGCACAGCTGGGGACGGGCTTCTGGTCGCGGTAATAGAAGATCTGCCCGGCGATGTTGGACAGATCCTCATCGTGAAGAGAATGCCGTTTTATGTACCGAAGGACGATGCTGGCATAGTTGTCGACTGGCTCTCCTTTCGCAATCACCAAATTTCTTGCCAAATCATCTGCAAGGGAAAAAAACATATTTTTTTACATAAGGGGGCGTCGCATGAGTTGTGTGTTGTCCCTGAAACGAGCATCATTCGCTTGGGGGGGGGGGGGGGGGGGAGGGGGGTGCGAGCCACAATTGCAAGTCGACCGGCATTGTACAGGATTATCTACATATACATGCACAATATTTTCGTCATTAAGCATAGCAAGCTGCTTTCATTTCAGAGGGAGGGGAGGGGGTCCGAGTACGACATCAATGATGCTCGTTTCAGGGACTACAGAATTATTTTTTGCGACGACCCCTGATCACAGTGCTCGGAACGCCCACAACGTGCCTCGCAATAGATCGGGCTTGTATGATTCAAACGCTTCGCACACCGCCTGCGGTGCCGTACAAACTTCACGTGCAATGGAAGCTGAGAAAACGTGACCACGTCCTATGTACTTTCAAGCAAGAGAACTGCTAAAGCAACTATGCAGCATGCTCACCAATGTGAGATAAGGCACAACTTCATCGGGCACCCTGTAAGAAGACCTTAGGGTCTGTTCCCAATGCCAAAGCGAAATGGTAGAGCACAGAAGACCATAATACAGATTCAGAACGTGAGCAACAATGTTAGTAAAACTAACCCAATGCGACATGGGAAGGCATCACATTCGACTTACCACAGTTCTTGGGGTCGAAAAACTTGGCTACCTCATCTCCGAACTCGTATACATCCTTTATCTCAGAGATTGGACGATCTCTGCGGAAAAAGTACACAGAAAATCCACACACACACACACACACACACACACACACACGCACCCACACACACACACACACGCGCACACACACACACACACACACACACACACACACACACACACACACACACACACACACACACAATTATAGAAACGAGAACATACACAAACACACGCGCACACATAATATTATTGCAGTAACACCTGTCAAGGCGACCACTCGGATAAGGCGACCACCTGTCCTAGAAGACCACCGCAACCAGAACCAAGGGATGCTATTTCCAGTCAAATGACCCTGGATAAGGCGACCACCTGGTATCAAAGGCCACATTTTGAAGGTCCCTTGAGCGGTCGTCTTAGACAGGTTTCACTGTATACAAACGAACATACAGACAGACAAATACACACGCACACACACGCACGCATGCATACACTCATGCACGTGCGGGAGTGCACACACACGTAGGTAAGAGAATAACCAGACGTTTTTTTGTTTTGTTTATTTTTTTACTGAATACAACAGAACCATCAGATGCTGCACAGTGGTTTATTAATATCCTGCTTCACCAACCGTAGGTAGGTCCTTCATCCAAAGTCATTACAACCAGCACAATAATTAGTACATGACAATGGTTACGAAAAAACGACATCTGAAATGATCCAGGGTATATTCTAGAGCGAAATTCCAACCGTTCAGAAGAAATAATTGTGACCAGACTAGCAAAACTGTCCTACACTAAAGATTACAGGTGCGGTTGCAATACAATTCGATATCACATAAATTTCATTAGTGCGCCACTTGGTCCAAGTCGCTGGTGACTCAAGTGCTTTCAGAGCATACAGCACCCCAAGGACGCCCCTAGCCTCGCCAACACTGTCCCTATCCTGTTCCAGTTTGGCATCAAGACCACGCACAACAATTTCCTTCGGTTCGGGGCTCATACTCTACGTAGAACCACGATTCAAACTGCACCGAACTCGTGGGATTCAAGTGATTCAGACAAGTGATTGGGAAATTACCTTGAATGCCTTGAAATTCGTCAAAAATCGCTGGACGGAAACTAAGAGAACGTTCAGATCGAAATTGCAAGTTCAATTTTTCGCCCCTCGATCATGTGTTGAGTTATCGCCACACCGACAAAATCTCTGCAAAGTCGTTTCCAAGACCGTTTCAATGAGCTATTGCGATGCGATATTCCGCTCCAGAGTTACGGCTGTTTGTACAGTGACCTATCCCATGCGTACTGCATGTGCGCTGTACAAAACGTATAGCGCGTGTATACTCGTCATTGCCCAGATGCGATGGGGTCTGCATGACGCGTATACCCGTCATAAACCCGGAAAGGGGCGAGAAATCCACAATGTGTGTTTCAGGGACGACCAAAAACGTTCGGGACGATACCTTAGTGACCCCGTGTAGAGCCTGTAATCCAATGAGCGTGAACAATTTAAAAAAGTTGGAAGGCAGCAGTTTACTCACACATCGTTGCACCGCGCCCTTTCCACTCAATAGAACTTGTCTCAACTAAAGATATAATTGCTTGACCCTTTATTTACAGCACAGAATGAAACAGAATTAGAATTTTCAGCACACTTTTCACCTTCAAGGGTGCTGGCGTTCCTACGGATTCGGAAAACTCGGCCTCTAGCCAAGTCCGACGCGAACCGTGAAATTAATTTTCAACTTCAACAGGCTGCAACTTTGGCCTCCTTCATTCGATTTTCACAATCTTAGGCTCGCTGGAAAGCCCTTGGCGAGAGCAAAGTCAGGGTACCAGGTTGCATCAACCAGCCACCACAAATCAGGCGAGTCACGTTGAACCTCCATACACCCTTCACAATCTCTGGACACACTCAACCTGTGGACAGCATGCTGTTTCGTCCTTTGTGGACTCTATCAGCGCAGCACAGAGGAAAATGAAGCCGAACCTGATTGCAAGGAAAAAATAAATTTTCAAAAGCCAGATTTAAACCAGGCCCGAAGGTATCACGCCACTGTGCTCAAACTGAAAAGTCAGTGAGCTCTGGGCAATGCAAACAGCAAATGCGCTATTCCACATGAGATGCATGCAGACAGCAGAAGGCGGCTCACCGTTTGGGCAAGTTTGCAGTGGAGCTTGCAGCTGGGGCTTCATCAGAGGAGGTCTCCAGCCGCGATTTCTGCCGTGGACAGGACGCCATGGGTTGACCTGAATGCACATAATAAGCATTGACGAAGACAGAGGCATGGCAACATAAGCACACACGACACAATGCAGAGACGCAACGTACACACACACACACACACACACACACGCACACACACACACACACACACACACACACACACACACACCCAACACACACCCGTACTCGCTTTTATATTGCCACCCCTGTACGTCGATGTGCGGTCCTGTCACCCAAGTGTACCCACCAACACAAAACTAGCTGGAACACACACACACACACACACACACACACACACACACACACACAAATAGCGACGTACCACGCATATCACAGGTGGCAGTACTTTCAGTGACCATCGTTGAAGTCGCTGAAGTAAATTCTGGCTGGGCTGTTGTCCTGGCTATCGTCTCTACCCTCACCGTCATTGCTGGCTCCACTTGCATGAGAAAAGAGAAGAAACAGGACACATACAATTCGATTAAATTTGATTTACCGTCTTCTTCTTCTTTTATGCTTCTTTTATACTGCTGTTTTTTCCATGCCCACTTCATTCCTGATGATGGTCATGAAGACCGAAACGTTGAAACGTTTTAACTCTAATTGATTTATGTGAAATGCAGTGGTCTCTTGAGTGTAGGCAGGTTGCCTGAAAACTATTCAAGTTTTCCCGCATTCTCTCGAGTATAATCCACGCTACAAACACTAAAAATTCACCCAAAAAAGGCAGAGTACATGACACAACATACGATGAACCGCACATACCGTATATTCTCTATTATAAGCACAGGTCTCCATTACTAGCACAGTCTCTAATACTAGCACACTGTGAGCACCTTTCGAAACATTATAAGCACAGTCTCTATTAGTAGCACGGTCTTGGTGGAAATCAATGCTGCATGCATGATATCCAGCATGTATTTCTTCTTGCTCTGTATGGATGTATTGGTTGAAATAATATAAGCACGGTCTCCAATATAAGCGCAGTCTCCAATATAAGCACGGGGTAGAGGGGTGTTGAAAAAATATAAGCACGGCCCTTATAATAGAGAATATACGGTGTGCACACACAGACACAGACACGGACACAGACATGGACACGCATGCACGCAAGAAAGTACACATGCATGAAACAGACACACACACAGACGCACACACACACACACACACACACACACACACACACATACACACACACACACACACACACACACACACACACACACACACACACATGGCACTCACAAGACTGCAAACACATCCGCACCGAAACACAGCTCAGCAGACTTACTGGGGTGCACCTTAGGTGGACTCTGACGGTCTTGCTCTGGAATAATCTCCCCCTCTGATTGCGCTGCTCTAGTCTCTTGCACAGAAAATACTACTCCATCACAACGGGACAAATGTTCTCGAAGTTCGTCGGCTTTGTCTGCATAGCCGAGGTCCTTGACGACTTGGATGAACTTGACGAACGTGCTTCGCTCTCCGGGTACGAGAAACACCAGGATCTTTTCGTTGTGCTGTATCTGCGTTAGTCCTGAGGTTGTCTGAAGGGTCATTGCCATCATCTCTGTAAGCATGCCCGCTGCAGTGCAGCTGACACGGAGGTGAGCGGAGTCAAGCAGCATGAGCCAGCCGTAGAAACGTTTGTAGAAATCCGGATGCTGCCATGGGTCTGGGCAGGAGCAGAGTCGGGCACGCACGCGCGCGTGCGTGTCGCAGAGAGACATGTGCCCACACACACACACACGCGCACGTACACACAAATATACACTTACGCACACACATACACACACATGTACACACATATACACACAGACGAGTGCGCACGCGCACGCACACACACAATGCAACTATGAGGCGCTTGAAGTCAGGTGTACACTTCGCATTGCATCATAATTGCTTCTTGAAACTTTGTGGAAGGGAGTTAGTAGCGGAGTCTTACAGCATATTTTCGAGGGAATGATCCGCTGATGTCACCATTCAAATACTGCACACGACACCACACACCATGCCCAGCAGTCTCTCGGCTTCAAACTGTAAAAACATAATATTATTTTTTACACTTTGCGAGGTACACCTCACTCAAGACAAGGGCTGAGAAGCCATTCACCGCTGCCTACCACCCGAGGAGCTTTATCGAGACTCGGGAGTGTACCAATTTCAATTGTTCTTGATATAGCTGTTCCCTTCCGCTAATCAGTCTCCTCTTCACCACACCCTCTGACTCCACCAGTGACATCATTACACATCGAAATGGCTCGAATTCAGCAAAGGGCAAAGTTTGGATTAGACTTAAAAATAGACTGAGTTCTCTGGACCGCCAGCACACGGCAGGATCAAGGCACAATCGTGGCTGCTAGTGCCGAGGGAGATGAGTGGATCAGACCCACCACCAAATGGTCACAGATCGGAAAGGGTAACCAGCGGCGCATATCGGAGAAAACGTTCACCCAAGAAACCGTGAGAAAAGACGCGTGCCAAGGCTAGAAAAGGAATTCGTTTGCATGAGATTTCAAACTTCACCCAAATCGTAGTGCGCGGAGACAACCTGCCATGAAGCTGTAAGCACGAAACCACCTTTCAATTCAACCTACCGTAAAGTCGCGGATAAAAGCCGGGCTTATAAGCCGCTTTCTGCATCAGGCTTTAATGCAAACCAGGCTTGTATGCAATTGCAAACCATGCTTATATGCACCACTGATATTTTTGCGAGGCTTGTATGCACATTGGCCGATCCGGGCTTGCATAGAAGCCAGGCTTCTACGCGCGACAGGCTTATAATGCATTTGACCCGTTTGATTTTCAGGCTTCTATCCGCGATGTGCTTGCATGCAAACCCGGCTTTTATCCGCCACTTCACGGTATCCATCTTTAAGTTATTGCACCGAAAAGGACCAAGGAACTACAAGTACAGCTATGCAGTACAGTACAGTGACCACCCCCCCCCCAAGGCGACCCCTCAAGGGACAAGAAAAAGTGGTCGCCATGGCCAGGTGGCCTTCTTATCCAGGTTCAGTGGGTCACGTGACCATATCCACATGACTGTGATACATCATTTTGATCAGTGTAGCGCAGTGCACACACCTATGCTACTCTAGCGCGATTCATGTGCCTGGGGTACTCAGACCTGCCGAGTGTCGTGCATGCACCCTCTGTAGATCTACTGTCGCGGACATGGAAATCCAGTGGGTTGACCGGGGCCGGCACCCTCAGCGCGTACAGAACGTAAGTAGCTGCATGCAATGCACATGTTTATGCGATGCGACCAGCAGCAGCGCATAATAAAACGTGCTGCGCGCATACGGCTGCATGGCCAGCGCCCTGGGGCCGCTAGACGTGCGACCGGATTTCCAGGTCCACAACAGAAGCATACACGCATGGTGCACCGTGCATGCTACTGTCAAATGTACTAGCACTGTGCAACGCGGTCGCCGGTGGGTGGTCGTCGGTAGCGTTGAGCGAGTGGTCGCCTTATCCGAGCTGTTTTGAACGTGAACGCGTCCGTGACAAGGAAAAGTGGTCGCCATGGTCGAGTGGTCGCCATATCCGAGTGGTGGCCATTACAGGTTTTACCAAGAGTACATCCTGTCGTCCACATGTATCAAAGGAGGCGAAATCGCCTGTTTGTGGTGCGACGTTAAATAAACTTCTACAACAACTACAACTACATAACCCCCCAGAGTGTGCAACGCCTGATCCAGCTCTGCATAGGGTCTTGGTCGAGCGGAATCGGATCTTTGCGTCATAATACCGTACACATCTGAGGGGAACCCGGGGAGTCGCGGGTACTCTTGGATCAAAAACAATGGTGCCCTGCCTCGAGACCGGCCTTGCGCTGGTGTGAAGTGTACGCATGACATCACAAGATCCGATTCCGCTCGACCAAGACCCTACACAGAGCTGGAGCGGCGTTGCACACTCTGGGGGTTATGTACTCTTGATTTTACTGTACACTAACACTGCCAGTTAGTTGACAATCAGCTCATGAGATAACTAGGGCTCAAAAGGTTAGTCCAATTAACCGTTTGCAGACCGGTTACGAAGACTTAACGGTTAACCGATAAAGATAACGGTTAAGCAGTAACGTTTCAGTCGATTTTTCAAGTATCAGGTTGTTGCAAAGTATGCACTTTCGCAGGCTGTCGCACGCGTACGCAATTTCTGGGCTGTTAACTCGGTCATATCTGGTCTCTTGGTGTGAGAGTATGTATGAATGAGCATGCAAGAGAATGTACATGTGTGCGTTGTACTGAATAGGGTAAATTTTTTAATGAGTATAGTCAAATATACGGTTAAAAAAGAGTCCACAGGATTGCCGTGGCTTATAGGTTATAACCGTTAAACCGACCGTTAGCTTAGCAGTTAACCATTAGGGGTAAAACCGTGACCGTTTGAGCCCTAGCGATAACATTGCATGACACTGACCGACAGTTCTGACATTCTACAACTGACTGCCAACTTGTAATTCCTTGGTCCTTTTCTTGGCAATACATACCGTAAAGTCGCGGATAAAAGCCGGGTTCGCATACAAGCACATCGCGGATAGAAGCCTGAAAATCAAACGGGTCAAATGCATAATAAGCCTGTCGCGCGTAGAAGCCTGGCTTCTATGCAAGCGCGGATCGGGTGGGTCAAGAGTGCATGCGCTATGTACGGTGCATAGTAAAACTGCTGCCATACCGGTAGTCAGTGGTAGATCTACGCGTGTCGCGCGTAGAAGCCTGGCTTCTATGTGCATACAAGCCTGGCATAAATATCAGTGGTGCATATAAGCATGGTTTGCATTAAAGCCTGGTGCAGAAAGTGGCTTATTCTGCTTATAAGCCCGGCTTTTATCCGCGACTTTACGCTGTCCCCGGGGAAAATCGCGGGAAAAATTGCAAAAAACGCGGCAAAAAACGCGGCATAATATGGCATAATTTGCGGTGAATTTGCGGTAAATATGCGGTAAATATGCGGTGAATATTATTGATATCTCGCGGCGGCAAGTTTGCAGTTGATCTGAGGCAATTTTCAGTGAGTATGTAGTGAACTCAATCAGTTACAAGTCTCTGGTGTAAGCACTCGTCATATTTGAGTACAAAGCCGCCACGATGAGACGTTGCTGACCGAACAGTGCACTGTGTGTACGTGTAGTGCAACAAAAAAAGTTCAAAAAACGGACGAAAATCGCGGAAAACGCGGTCTTTAAAAAAATTGCAAATACGCTGAAAAAACGCGCCCGCGGAATCGAGATTTTCCCCGGGGACAGTTTACGGTATATCCTTGGCTCTCCATCCGAGTCTTTCCATCTTCACTAGGATTACCCTGCAGGCCCTGTGTTTGCCTAGGACTTTGCACCTTTGACGTGAAGTGAAATTTAGCTAGTGAAGCAAATTTTATAAAAATAATAATATCGTTTTTCTGAGGCCATTTTTCTATGCAAGTCCAACACAGGTACGTATACACACTGACACACACACGCACACACACACACACACACACACATATACGCACACGCACGTGCATGTGCGTGTCCGTATGTATGCGTTCGTTTATTTTACCGGTAGTTCGTTGCCTCGACATCACGATGGACAGCTTCAAATCGCAAAAAGGATCAAGCAGAGTAAGCACCACTGTCGTATTTTAATATTTGCGTAACGTCCCTAATCTAATCATCTAAACAAATCAGGTAAGGGACTCAAAATTGATAACATTATTTTCATTTACACAGCATGATTTCTGGTTGCAATGCCATTGAAAGTGGTGACCGGTGCTCTTAGGCAATTATTTCAGCTAGCGCTCGTTTCACTTACTTGTTTTCCTACCTCTGCCCACCGACCGTGAATCCATCGCTGCACGAGCGTGACTCAATTATACCAGGGTGCGAACCGAACCCTCTGCTCAGGAAAGCAATGCCCACGCAAGTTAGTGTTTTATTTCTTGGATTTGCCAGTTCGAGTTCTCCTGCGCCTGCGGTGCGTGCACAGCCTATGCGTGGTAAGTAGATCTACGTTGAGTGTTGTGGACATGGAAATCCCGTCGCACGTCTAGCGCCCCCAGGGCGCGCGCTGGCCATGCATCCGTGGATAAGTGGTACATACACTAGGAGTAGTATGCGCTGCAGCGCTCTGGTCGCATCGGATCTGACTGTGCACTTTTTTTATTTTTTTTATTGACATATCCGCGGCAAGCCGCTTATGTACAACGGCATGGGAGAGGATAACAAAAAATGAAAAATAATATAATTATTGTTGGGGAAATCCACGCTATTATCGAATATTCAACAATGACGGGTGTGGGGTTATACCAAATTCCCATAATGTGGAAGTACGTTATTATTGTTGAAAGCACTAGGTGATCTGCACTCTACAATGTGACCTGTGCGATTATATCGTTGAATGATTGCCTGTTCCGAGCCACCAAACGCAGTGTCTCCAGGTCCTTCAGACTCCGGAGACGCATGGACGTTGCCTTAGCTAATTCGTTGTCTATCACCACTGGTAGGGTGATGCGCGGGCGTCCGAGCCAGCCCCGATTCTGTCGCTGGAAATACGCTGTCATGCTCACCTGCGCTGGAGTTGCTTCAGGGAGGCGTAGAACATGACCAAACAGTTTCCACCGTGCTCTTCTGCTTAGTACGGATATTGGCTCGGCATTGCAGCGGGCATATAGGTCTGTGTTGGAGATAATTTCCGGGTAAGATATCCCTAATAGACGGCGGAGCTGCTTTCTGTGGAACGCATCCATTGCTGTAGCATCCCGGGATGAAAGCACCCACACGCCGCAGTTGTAGGTCAAAATAGATAGCACAAATGCATCAAACAACCTCAGGCGGGTTGCTTCAGAGATAACTTGTCTCCGCATCCACAGGTTGACAAGTGTGTTGAAGGCAGCTGCGGCTTGCTGGCGCCGGCGCTTGAGGTCTTCTGTGACTCCGTACAGTGAACCAAGCAACCGGGTGGACCTCCATCGTTCCTCACCTCTTCTTGCAACATCCTCTTCTTGGTATAGATGGGTCCACTCGGTCTTGGTAGGGTTGATGTTGAGGTTCCACTCTTTGAACACTACCTCTGCCTCTGTTAGTGCGCACGCTAGATGTTGACGGTCCGTGGAGTACAGGTTAACGTCGTCCATGTATGCTGTTTCGCAAGGTATGGACATATCGACAGTCGTGTAGGCTGTCCCTCCAATATTCAGTATGGCAGGTCTTGGCGATATCCTGGGACGCAGGCAACGCATTGTCGCTTCGAGATAACAGGTGAATAGCACCGGCGACAAACTATCTCCTTGTGGGATGCCTATTGATGTTGGAAATTCTGCCGAGAGCGCATTCTTTATCTTCACTCTTAGCCTTGTGTTGTGCAACAACATCTCCACCATTCGTACCTCATCTGTGTTAACTATTTGTTTCATTACCTCCACCAATCTTCCCCGCTGCACTGTGTCGAACGCCTTGCTCATATCCATTCCGAGGACCGTACATTGCCACTTGAAACGTTCAGCCTTGGCTGCCAGCCACCGGCCACACCAGACAATATCCGCGGTACTCCGACCCGGACGGGAAGCGCTCTGGGTTGGAGATAGGTAGGAGTCAATCTTTGGCATAATCCTGCGAAGTGTGATTGTTGACAGGCATTTGCGTATAGAGTTCAAGAGTATTATTGGCCTGATACTGGTTAGCGGCCCTCTGGGTTTCCCTGGTTTCGGGAGCGGGATTAGTGTTCCACATCCAAGATCCATTCCACTGCCATCCGCAAAACATTGGTTTAGAATGGCAGCGATCTCATGTGCGACCCTCTCACCAGCATGCTTGAACAGGTCCCCGGGGATGCCATCCGGCCCAGCTGCCCTCTGCGATTTCAGTAATCTAATTGCCAGGGCAACCTCCGCAGCGCTGATCCTATCTTCAAGATACTTCGAGCCCAGCGGTCTCAGAATATCATTTACTGCGGATGGATCCCGAAACTGCTGCCTGAAGTGGTCAGCTACCTTCTCTGCCGCTTCTTTATCGTTGGCGATTATCCGTCCAAGAGCGTCATGAACAACCAATGGCGCGGGAGACTGCCGCCGCAGCAAAGAGGCTGCTTGGAAGACCCTTGCATTGTTTTTCAGCTTCTCTACTTCTTGAGCGAAGGAGTCCAGGCGGGCTTCAGAGTTGTTCCGGGCGATATCTCGTATCTGGTGTAATATCTGATTCCGATCGCGTTTCAGTGATTTCCTCCCGTCTGGGCATTTTGTCGAGTCGATTTTTACCCGCAGTTCTTTTTGTTGGGCTGATAGAAGGGCTATGCCAGGATCATGGGCTTTTCGGCTACATTCGGCTCTCTTTTTATATCCAACTGTTTTTGTTGCAGCCGACTCCAGTGCATCCCTCACACCTCCGAAACGTGCCTCAGCTGAAACAGTTCCCTGCTGCGTTTGTTGCGTTGCCAGTGCTTTGTCTACCTCCTCCTGGAATTGACTACAGACCTGGGGGTTCTGAGTAAACATCGAGGTGTTGAAGCTACGCTTAGTTGTCTGGTTTCCCTTCCGCCAGATTGGAAATAACGCACGAAGCTGCAGTGTGGCAATGACTATTCGTTTTGTGCACTGCACGCCGCATTCTGTACCCGCTGAGGGCGCCGGCCTCGGTCATCTGGATTTCCATGTCCGCTACTGACTACAGGCACGGGCGTCCAACCGATCATGTTAGGGCTTGAAAGTGCTACGTCACAGCATAGCAACAATTTCAAAAATTCAAAAACTGGATCCACTTGGATCCAGTTTTTGTATGGATCCAAGCACATTTCAAGCGGTCTTACTCACAGCATGGTGATGTAGCCAGTGAAACTGACTGATTTGGCTACTGGGGGCGGGGTTACAACTGGTGGCGAAATAAAAAGTCACACCTGCATGCGACATGAGTGGGTTGCTATGCACCCACATACTTAGGCAATAGCAAAGTCACACCTTATAGTGGATCCAAAAATAGAAATCTGATGTCAACTAACTTACTCTCTGGCCGTTTTGACGTCATCACTTTCAAGCCCTTGCCTTTACTACAGTACTAGTGATATGCACACTATCACTAGTAGTAGTATCAGTATCAAGTACTAGTAGTAGTATCAAGACTTCATCCAGTACTGCATGCAGTACAATCATGTAATGATGTAGATCTACTCAGTGCAAGTGGACATGTGACTGTCTGTTGAGTGTTGACAGACTACATCATACATCATACGTTCATACTCATAGACATACAGTGCTGGCAACTGAAATCCGACCCCCTTGGCGGGGCGACGCGCCGGCAAGGGGGTCGGATTTCAGTTGCCAGCTCTGTAGTACATGTCCTTTTTTTACCACTAAGGCTGCGTTCGTTTTTAGCTACCTGGTAGAGTAGAGTAGAGTCACTCTACCGATAGAGGTAGATGGTAGAGGCAAGTGTACGAACGCTGTTCTACCAGATCTAGTAGTTTACACGATGTGTACGTGAAATGTTTCTTTTTTTTATGGAGTTGTGTACAAATCCTTGATCTTGCTGGAAATCCCGTAGCTCTACCAACTTCTACCGGTTTCTACCAACTTTTTCCCGGTAGAGCCTGATGCGTCTAGCACATCTCAATTCTAAAATCCACCGGGAATCCACAGGAAAACTACTCAGACTACACTGTTATTATTCATTGCAAAAGAACACCGAAAGGCCAAACCGCATGGTGAAGCAGCATGTTGAATACGGGTTGGCGGAAGTCGGGAGGTACGTACGGGCGAGGTGAACCAGTGGAGGTGTCGCACCATAGCAACTGAGAAGAGACAGGCGAAGCAACTTCTTGCCACACTAAACTGGACGAATCATTATTTCGGAGAGCGATGAATTCAGGACAGTTACTCTGAGCGGTGGCGAGAGCAGCAAAGTCGACTGAGGATGGCTGGACAATAGCATCCAGTGGTCGTGACAACGTGTCGGCAACGACGTTCCGAGTTCCCTTGACAAAGCGGATATCAGTGGTGAATTCGGCTATGAAGGACAAGTGTCGTGCCTCACGGGGAGAATGGCGAGTTGACGGCAAGTGAATGGCATGGGTCAGCGGCTTATGATCGGTCATGATATGAAATGACCGGCCCTCAACATAGTGGCGAAAGTGCTTGACAGCTAGATACATAGCCAGTAACTCGCGACCAAAAGTAGGATAGCGGCATTCAGTAGGGGAAAGCTTCTTGCTAAAGAAAGCTAGCGGCTGCCATGCACCATCGACAAACTGCTGAAGCACAGCTCCGACACAATAGTCAGATGCATCGCACATGACATTGATGGGTGCCTCAGGGTTAGGGTGCGATAATAATGTAGTGGCAGCTAGAAGGCATTTCACTTGATCAAATGCAGATTCAGCAGCTTCAGTCCAACAGAACGAGGAGTCATGCTTACGTTTGCCGATGAGCAGATCCGTGAGAGGCTTCACGACGGCGGCACAGTTAGGTAGGAAACGACGGTAGAAATTCACCATACCTAGGAACTCACGAAGCTGACGGAGAGAAGTTGGTGGTTTGAACTGCTGAATAACCTGAACACGTTGGGAGGTCGGCTCAATACCATGACGACTGACGTTGTGGCTGAGGAACTCAATGGTAGAAACAGAGAATACGCACTTTGCAGGATTAATGACGAGGCCGTGCTCTTGCAGACGCTGTAAGACCAAGCGGACATGCGTGCGGTGCGTCTCAGGATCCGAACTGGCAATTAGGATGTCGTCAATATACACAAAGCAGAAATCCAGGCCATGCAACACTTGATCAACGAAACGTTGAAATGATTGGGCTGCGTTCCGGAGTCCGAAGGGCATACGAACAAATTCGAATAAACCAAATGGGGTCGTAACGGCCGTCTTCGGGATATCATCCTCTGCCACTGGTATCTGATGGTACGCCCGAACCAAGTCTATCTTGCTGAAGACTGAGGCGCCATGAAGATTGGCAGAGAAATCATGGATGTGCGGTAT